ATCATTCATAAACCTTCCCTGGGGTCCCTAGATGTCCCACAAAAAATTTGGGCCCGATCGGTTCAGCCGTTTTGACGTTTATTGGATACAAACAAACAGACAGACAAACAAACAAACAAACACAAAGACAAGCCAAATTTATATATAGATGTTGAGGAAAGTTGTGAAATAATACTACACTAGTCATGCCCGAACATTGATACCAGAAATAAAGAACAGATGGAATATGTGTATTCCAGATTGGGAAGTTATCCTAGAAGGAAGGGGAGAGGCGGGAAGGCTACAAGGTGTCAAATCAAGTGATCGCGTGACGAGAACGAGGAAGAGGTCGTCCTAAAGAGCCAGCTCGGGGTTAAAGGAGTTAAAGAGGTTCCCCGGCAGTAGATGAGCGTCCTGCCCCATAATTTTGTTTTATTTGATTTTTGAATTGTATTTGTTCCTATTTTGAAATATTTTTTTTGCATATTTGATACATTAATACAAACTGATAAAAACGTTTGAATATTTTAAGGGATAAAATTGTTATTTCGAAGGGAAACTTGAAAGCAGAGCTAGTAACAGCAAATATGTTTTGGTAGCCAAAAAAAGGAGAATGATTTAAAATATACTCCTCCCCTCCCCCGCACCGCCTATCCTACCCACCCCCCTCTGAGGTACGTCATAACATTTGTTTTGTTATTACATTTTTTAAATAATGTATGCAAAGAGTGAGTCATATTGTATTAAATTTTCTCCGGGTTTCAATGTGCATAAAATCCTAAGCTCAAAATTTATAAGAATATTTTAGGTTCTTTTTCAATTTTAATCCCTTCAAACATATTTTTATGTTGATTTAATATTTATTGGCTGATGTTTATTCCAATTTGACGTATCTTACTTTAAAGTTCCAACAAAGCAGTAGAATTAGGTGAACAAGTGTTCATTTTATCTTAGCTTCTTAATTGACAACTTCATTTTAAAATAAAATGTCCGGAAGTATACATCTTCTTCTTTCTCTTGTTGTCCTAGTTATGATATTAGATGTTTATGGTGATAAAGATATAAAGAGTTCGATTGATCAGAACAGTGGAGGGAGAGAATTCGAGGAATATAAAGATGATAAACCTAAACAAGTATCTAAAATCAAAAAACGGTTAAAGAATAATAAGAACCAAAAGAAAGCGAACAGTAATATAGTTAACAAGAAATACTCTTCTAAAAATAGGAGGAAGAACTCCATTATATCTAGGAACAAGAGCTCCACTGAATCTAGAAAGAAAAACTCCACAAGATCTAGAAAAAAGGGATCTGCTAAATCTCGAAAGAAAAAAACCAGTAAAACAAAATTAAAAGTGACCAAATCTTTAAAAAAACCGAAATCTAAGAAGAATTCGGATCGGAAACAAAGGTCAGCGTTTTAAGCATATTCAAGGGCGGGGGACTAAAAATTGCCTCACAAGCTGTTCAACAATAATTTTGCTTAAAATCTATACAAATTATAACAATGCATTTTCCTCGTTTTTATGGTATTATTACATATTTGAATGTTAAATGTTTTATTACCTTAAAATGTATACTAGGAATAAGGGGGTTGCATGGTTATATTATTTAGAAAACTAATTTCTTCAAAAATAGTTTTGTGGATTGGTCTCAAGATCAGATGTCTAAACTTTTCCTTTAGTTATCTAGTTATCGCTTGATTTAATGCTAGATGTAAGTTCCTTGCTGTCGACGTTGCAGCCAATTTGAATGATTATGAGAAAAATTACTATAGAGGCATGTTTAATACAACAGTCAAACCAAATAGTCTTTGCATGGATCTCATTCTCCAGTTTTTAGGCACACCCTGTGGTATGTCCAATTTGAAATTAAAAATAATTTGTCTTATAGATATATTGAATTTAGGAGAAAAGAGAAGTTTGATAAGTGGACTAATACCCTGGATGGAATATGGAAAAATATTAAACAGGTGCACAGTAACAAAATTATTTAAGATCCAATTCTGAATGTTTATTTTTTTGTGCACCACCTAAAGAACATTGTGCCCCCCCCCCTCAAAAAAAAAACTATTTTGAAAAAAAATATTGTTTAGCTTTTAATGTATAATAAAGAACCTTATATCTTTCAGATGTAGGCTTTTTCACCCTAGAAAGTAGATATGTTTGCGCGGTGCGACAGAAAAATTGCAGGATTTAATTAGCTGAATTTTTGAGTATGAAGTATCAAAAAGGATAAAAACACGCCTTTTGATGACAGGTCCCCCCCTCTCTTTCATCAACATTTTTTATTCCTTCAAGAGCTTTGTTTGCACGGAGTACCAAAACATTTTTTTTGGGTTTTAATTGGATGCTGCATTTTTGGGTAAAAAGAATTAAAAAAGATAAAAAAAACTTTCCTTTTCATGTCAAAATTTATTTTTTCAGATGACCAATTTTTTTTCTCACTAGGGCAAATTTTCAGGGTTTTACTTGCTGCTAGGGCTACTAGTTTTCTTTTATCTGTTGCGTATATAAGGAGAAAATGGTTATACCTAAAATAGTAGAACCCATATAAATTCACGGAGTTAAATTAGCCCATTAGTAATCACTCCCACCCAAACGTGTAATCGTGCACCACGTCAATTTGTAATGATAAATAAAAATGTTAACATTAAATCGTTTATTTCTTGGAAATAAGACCATATTGACCTCTGTTAATGGGCCTATGGCGAATTAGTGAATTTTATACTTCATTCTCACTCGTGGGCGCGATGAGACTGTTTTTTCAAAAATTTTGTTCTTTATATGCATGTAATTAGTTTTGTTTTGTAGATGTTGAACTCGAGTAGGGAATACAAAAATCTAAACACTGTATAGGGTTTTAAAAAATATCTTTTTAATGGAGATAGATATTACTTGGCTGGGGTGAGGTAATTTTAAGCAAACAGGCAGCCCGACCTTTTAGTATCCTAACTCCAATCATGAAATGCAGTCATTAAATCAGCGAACTAGATCTAAGATTGGCTAAAATAAACTATGCCTTGTTTCTCAGTTTTTGCTGACCAAACCAATCTGAAAACAAATTGAAAATTTAGTTTAAGTCAATACAGACGCCATGAATCCTCGATAGATGTCGAAAATTGTGTTAAAAATGCATTAAATTTAAATCTCAGAAAACAAGATTTTACGGTGACTATAAATGGGGGTGGTGGAGATTACCAATTTGAGGAGCGCGCATGCCACAAAACACATTTGGGTGGCGGTGATTACTAATTGAGGACTTCTGCACTGATCTGGTTTAGAAGAGAGAGAGAAGCAGATAAGGAGGAAGAAGAAAAAATAAAAAATAATTATAGTAACAAAAAACCCCATTACATCATAGGATTTCTGAAAGTACATTTACAATGAATTCTAGATACAAGACTATAACTAGGCAGTAATGAATATCTACTGCTATCATATTATTATAATACAAGTTCTGGAGTAGAAAAGATAAAAAGTAAAAATGAAGTTATGAATGTTCTATAGGATAAGAGCTGTGAGTGCGGTCTACCTAATCCTGGAAAAAAAGGAACAAGGTTTAACAAAATTTTATTAATTTTCTTCTTATATGTACATTACCGATCTATTTACTGTTTTGTCTTTGTTTGAAAGAGAATCGAGGGGTGTGGGGCGTGTGAGTGGGGGTTGGGGGGATGGGTTTGGTTAACGCCCTTGCATTTGTTCTTTAATTTTCTTAGGATTGTAAATGGAGTTGAAGCAGCTCCTCACTCTCTTCCCTGGCAGATATCTATGCAGGATAATACAGGTCAGCAAATACATACAGCCAAGAATGTAAGTAAGTTTATTGCGGTCGTGTATACTCTGCGTACATATTGAAACCAGTTCTCTTTGGGTGAAATTTGTAAACAAGAATAGATGAATCAGTGTTCGTTTAGTATCCGAGGAGGTTAAAACATTAAATTTTGAAAATTTTGATAATTCACATAATAGTTTCCTATGACTAGAATATTTCATTGATTTTTTATGTGAAAGATGGATCCCATTTCAGGCTTCGACATCTGTCTTGTGTTTACATCACCGCCCATGGAGACAGTACACTGCAGTACAAAAGATGTGTACACTTCTGAAATAACTTTCCTTGCCTTACAATCCTTGCATACAGCATTCATGGTTTAATCAATTCATTTAAATTTTGATAAAACTAATAAATCGTTTTGTTTTCAGGATTCTGGTATTGCGGAGGTAGCTTTACTAGAAAATATCTGAGATAACATTTATATATATGAATGAAATCTTATATATCTGAATGAAACTGGCAAAAATAAAACTCCAGATAACTGTTCTAATCTTACGAATTTAAATTTACTTTTGAAACGGATAAATCAATTTGTCAAGAAAAAATTAGTTTTTACCTAAATCGGCTTGAAAGATATGGGATTGATAAATGGGTGATTGAAAGATGGGATTAAAATTATGGAATAGGAAGAACACCAAATTTATGATTTTAAATAGTCCAATGAACAAAAAACACAGTGCACAGTGTACATTCGTACCCATTTCAACTATAAATAAGTTATAATAAATACTTGCTTTATAACAAAACAAAAAGCTAATAGAGCGCTTCGCACCCATCTCCTAATTCAATTGTGAACATTTTCTTTGTATACATTGTAAAGCAAAAATCAAAAAAAAATCGTGGATTTCATGAAATCAAATTTCATGGATATTCAAAATTTTCAAAAATTTAATAAATATCTACTATATACTATTGAAGGAGGCAAATGAATTGACTCTTTGCCACAAACTCTGATTTTCTAATCCCAATATCTTTGGAACCCAATGTCGTAAACCTTTGATATTTCAAACTTATATTTTTTGATCTAACAGAAGTCTATAGTTTGAAATAATAGTTTACGACGTTGGAATCCAAAGATATAGGGATTAAAAAATCAGAGTTTGTGGCAAAGAGTCAATTCATTTGCCTCCTTCAATAGTATATAGTAGATTTTTATTAAATTTTTGAAAATTTTGAATATCCATGAAAAGAGTCAATTCCTTTTTGAAAACTTGATCATCTATAAACCTTCCTGGGGTTTGTGAGGCCCACAAAAACTTTTTGCCCGATCGGTTCATTCCGTTTTTTATTGGATAAACACCAACAAACAAACAGAAAAGCAAAGTTTTTTTTACAAAGTTTTTTATAATTTATTTCCGTCTGCACGTCCGAAGTTTTTTTTTTTCTTGCCTCCCTTAGCCCGTTAATTTATGGCGCTGCTTTTGACAAGCAAAGTAAATATATATATATATATATATAAACGTATGTCGTCTTCATATTCCACAGTTTTTAGGTATCACTGTATGTACGGTGTATGTATACAGTGTTACTTTTAAAATGAGGTTTCCTATTTTCCAGTCTATCAGTGGTAAATTTTAACTATTTCTTATAATATTTTTTTTCGTTTTTTATTTAAATACATTTTTTAGGCTCTGTCTTATGTGATGAATGGATTTTGACAGCAGCACATTGTGTTCATAGCAACGGCGTAACAGACGACCCGTCAGTGAGTATAATATACTGGGGCACTTTTCATCTCCTTTTTTAGTATAATCTTTATTTTTATTTTGGTTTTTCATGTCGCCATTTTTCTTTGTTCCCCAATCAAAATACATGAAACGATTGCATTAAAAAGTATAAAATATGCAAAAAAATTATCAAATTCTGAGGTGAAGTGCCCTCTTCGTCCGTCTCAGTATGGATAGTCACCAATCCTGGCTAAACTTAGATAATAAGAATTTTCCTATTCTTGATAATGCCAAGATTGAATCAAAACCCATAAAAATTTTCTGTTTGTCCTTTTTACTCTGTGTTTAGACCGTGTTTATAAGTATCGGAGATCATGACGTATCAGATCCTAACGATTCAAAATCAGAAATTATGCCTGTCAGGTCAGATATTTATAAGGGAGTAGGTGGAAAAAATTATAATATGAACTTTTTTAGCAAAATTATCCCTCATGAAAAGTATGATGAAGATACAACAAACAATGATATTGCGTTAATTCGGTTAAAGAAAAAAATTGACTTCAAAAAATTCAAGGTAAAATTTAATCTTTCAATACATATTTTATCTTAAACTAAAATTTGAATTTTTTGAAAATTTTTCAAGACTTTGGAAATTGTAAACAAGCAGAAAAGTAACGTTGAACGTTGTTTTGAATTTTAAATTCATCGACACTCAAATAATGGTTTAGAGGGTAATAAATTCCGGTTCTTTTCTATCGGAAGCTTGAAATAATGTTAACAATCTCTTTAGAGAAGTAAAAAAGGACGGATGGAGCAAAAACTTGTTCTTGATTTTTTCAGGGTACAGTTCGACCGATTTGTTTACCTGAATCACCTAAGAGGGTAAGACATGGTATAAGAACGCAATAAAATTTCCATTCATTAAAATTTGTTTTACTAGAAATTCAAGGCGTTTCGCGCCCTTCTTTCTAGCCTTAGAGGGCGCTTCGCGCCCATCTCCTAAATTAATTGTGAACATGTTCTCTTTGTGTACATCGTAAAACAAAACAAAAATAATTCGCGGATTTTCACAAAAAATTTCGCGGATTTTCAAAATTAAAAAAAATTTAATGACGATCGAATTTTGATGGAGACAAATATTTAAAATTTCAATCATTCATAACCTTCCCTGGGGTCCCTAGATGTCCCACAAAAACCGATCGGTTTAGCCGTTTTGACGTTTATTGGATACAAACAGACAGACAAGCCAAATTTATATATAGAAGACCGTTTCTGAGTTGCAGGCCTTTATATATATATAATGCTTTATTATTGTATAAATAAAATCCAAAGAAAATTCAACATTTATGCGTCATCATTCATTTGGCGAATTTATAAAGCCGAGCTGAAAAGATCGTTTTCATTATAAAAATTCAGTTGGTATGTCAAAATGGAAACGTTTATTTTCATTTAATGTTTGTTTAGTACTATGGCGAAACTGTAAAGGTGTCTGGTTGGGGTCTTCTATACGATGGAGGGGATGTAAGCATAACTTTAACAAGAACACATATTCAATCTATTAAGTAATTTGACAAATATTTTGAGATTTACTTTTTTCTATTCTAAATCTCAAAAATATTTCTGATTTTGAAGACATTCAAGTTTCAGCGGGAACAGTTAGGACCGGTCATAATGGCACTTTTTACCAAAAAGTATTGCGAACAAAATTCTTTTAGTTGGATATATTTTTTATTTCCGAAAAAATTTATTAATAAACATGATCTATATAAAAACTACATATGATAAAAATAAAAATTAATTCTCAGAAATTAATGATAGGGCGGCAGCAAGGTACTTCGCGAAGTAGACGTCAGCGTAATCCCCATGAAGAGTTGTAGAGAGAATTTTAAGGTAATCAGCATATCTTTTAAACATTTTAAATTCCACTAAAAATGTTTACGATATTTGTAAATAAATAACCATTGTTAATCCTGCGTTCTTGCAAAATATATTTGTCTTAGCTACATTAATTTCGTTGTGTTTGTCGTATCGAATAAACTCGGAGGCAGCAAATCAAATGGAAATTCTGATAGAATTTTAAATATTTAAAAGACTAGGCCACAAACTCCAATTTTCCAATTACTTTATTTTTGCAACCCTATGCTGTAAACCTTTTATATTTCAAACTTAGACGATTTGATCTGTCAGAATTCTTAGTTTGAAAGGTAAAAGGTCTACAACAACGGGTTGCAGAGATACAGGGATTACAAAATCTGAGTTTGTGGCAAAAAAACGTCTTTCGACCAGCAATATTCTTCTCTTTAGTCATGTGAGTTACGACTACGGTTTCCAGTGAAAAGAAAAAAATCGTTTCGTGAAAATTTTCTTTTTCGCGACCATTTCGGAACTTTTTCGCTTTTTTCGCGAAATTTCGCTTTAGTCTGTTTCGCGAAAAAAAGAGAAATTTTCGCGAAATAGAAAAGGCAAAAATTTTACGAAAAAAGGCGACATTTTCGCGAAAATTTCGGAAAAAAAAAGATAGCTAGGGAAATCAAATTCTCTTCATCAAACATTTATGAAAGTAGATGAAGAGAAATTATTAATATGACATAATAAAACTTCAAATATTGAGTTATCAGAGCAGAGAATTCCACAAGTTCTTTTCATGAATTAATTGTTGCAGCTATCAAACGCATAGTTTCGACAAAATTTTCGCATTTCGCGAAATTTTCGTATTTTACGAAAATATTTTCGCAATTTAGAATATTTCGAAATTTTGCTTCATTTATTTTCGCGAAAATTGCGAAATCTGACCGAAAATTTTCGCGAAACTTTTCGTTCGTTGGAAACCCTAGTTACGACAAAATATCGGCCAACTTGTTTTGACGTTTTTTAGATGCACCTGCAAGAACTCATTGTTTTGTAGCAAATTACACGTTTAAAAAGATACCGTGACAGCTTAAAGGCTTTATACTCTGATTTTTGTTTTTATCAAAATAACAATATTCTTGATATCTTTTAGTACAAAAGAGAATGGATTACAAATAAAATGCTATGCGCAAATGCACCAAATCAAGATTCTTGTCAGGTAAAGTCAAGCTTAATCAAAATATGTAATTAAGAGACTCTCACAATTAGCTTTGTAAAAAGCTTGAAATTACTGCATCTAAACCTAAACATAGACCTAAACCTAAACCTAAACCTAAACCTAAAATGAGGAGTTTAACAAAATGAAAAGCGTAAGATTAAAGCCAGGAAGTGTTGCTTTTGAGGAAAAATGAAAAAGTGTAACCATAGTGTACTTATATTAATTGTATTTATATATAAAACAAATGAAATACAACTTTGATAATTTATAAGAATACTCTTTCTTTTTTTTCGTAATAAATTCGTGTTAATCAAATTCTAATAAACTCCTCAATTAAAAAGTTTCGTCTTCTTAAATTATATAACGATACCCTGTCAACATTATTTAACAAATTTTTGGTATTTTTAATGTTTATCTTAAAGGGAGATTCGGGGGGACCTCTTGTTCATTTTAATTCCAGTTCTGGTAAATATAGCCAGGTAGATATCAACTGTTTTTCTTAAAAATACTATTTCAGTTGTTTTTTCATTCTAAATCAAAGAAAAAAATATCATTATCAATTTGGAATTGGTTGAATTAAATTGTACAGTTAAAATAAATCATAGGACTAGGATCGACGATACATTTTTTATAATAAAAAATAACGGACTTTTTCATTTAAATAAGGATTAAACACTTATTTTTTAAGTCAATTTTAAAGTAAAATGCGTATTATCAATTTTCTAAGAGGTAGATATAATTTATCTTATCATTTTTTTAGGTCAATTAATCATTTATGTCCTGTATTTTTTAGCACTAAATTGCTATCGTGAGAGTATAATTCTTGTGAATTATGGCTGTCAGATAATCTGATCTGTGTTAAGGTTGGTGTAGTATCCTGGGGTATAGGATGTGCTGACCCCGATTATCCAGGAATTTACACAAAGCTTTCATTCTTCTTAAAGGTATTTTTTAGTTGTTTCCTTTATGACAAAAATAATAGAGGTTTTTTGAGCAATGAAAATCTTCCACACTCCACAGGGCCTAAACTGGGCACCAGGGTGCCCCCCCCCCCTGTTAGATCAATTTTTAAGGTAAAATAAAGATTTTTTACTGTGTAATTGAGGGCTTTGCCAATGGTCCCCCCCCCCCTACGAAAACTTTTAGGGTTCATCTATTATTGCAATGAAGTACATGATTTTCTGTTTTTTTGTGAGTTACTTGCATAGGACAGACAAGTTTTCAACTTTTTCTAACCGTTTCGTTAACGGTTACTTCCAACCAATATAATTTCAGGTAGCCGCCAGTTTTACTGGTAAGAAAAAACGTGTCCGTTTCGTCAACTGTATTTCCCGTTTTTTTAAAGTTACTGTTAGTTAATGATCTCAATTCTATTAACGGCGCGAACTTTTTTTCTTTAATTACAGATATTTTCGCTAACGGTTTGTCAAGTCGTTAACGGCGAAACCGTTAACGGTTTGATAAAACTCTAAAATTTGCCATACCAATTAGTTCATCAAATTAGATTTACGGCACAAGCCTTTAACAAATTGGAAAAAAATGTATAAGTTCCAGTATATAAAAAGGGGAGAACTGAAGACGACATTTAAAACATCAAAATGCAAAGAATGATTTTTATTATTTTGCAAGTTTCATGCAATTTTACAGAAGAAAGAGCGAAAGTTGCCGTTTTTTAAAACCACATCTGTTTCGTTTTCGTTTTCAATCGTTATTTTTTTTCAAAAATGGCTAATCCGGTTTTGTTAACAATTTAAAAATTCCTTTTTGTTGACAGAGCTTTGCCCAGCCCTACTTGCAGGTCGGTTACAAAAAGTATTTGTAACTATGTTGGAGGCACACCGGACAAAGCAGAGTTAGAGGCATTCGTTTTCTTCTATTTGAAATTACACGCGTTTTGGTTGGTCTATAATTAAACAATCTTTAAACTTACGGATTTGTTTGTTTAATACTTTTTATTCAAAATGCATATGCAAACAAAAAAGGATTTAAGAAAAAAGGCTACAAAATGATGTTTATTAGGACAAATTGTGATCGAAAGTCACAGTTTTCTGGAATATTGATAGAACCGTCAAATCCACGTGGGGGGGGGGCGCACATGGGTAAATAGGTAAATCCTCTTCTCTTACACAGTAAAAAAAACCCAACTATTTCACCTTGAATTTAATCTTAAATGGGAAGGGGGAGACACATGTCCCGCGTTGCCCCCCTCCCCCAGTTATGACCATTGTCACTTGTTTCCTGTATGTTATTTAATTTATTTTTTTGTGAACTGAATAAATGTCGTCTTAAAATTGCCTTTATTTCAGTGGATCATGAAGAAAGTCAAATCTTGCACATTCTGCTCTTCCTGATTTGATTTCAAATTTAAATTTTAAATTATGTATCTATGGATATTTATTGATTTCTCCATTTAGCCAATATTATTTAGAATAGTATAAATAAAATCTATATATATTAATATCTTTGATAATAATGTAAATCGTGTTAAAAATGCAGCACATAATCTATCGAAAAATTTATCAATCTATGGTATGTTGATGTATATAAATTATCCTTGAGTGATATCTAAATGTTTTAGAAGCTCACCTGTATTCTGCATATCTTTATGTTTATATAAACTAGCCGGTACGAGTATAGGAAAGGTCAGCTCTAGCTAACCTACACGTAGAAAACCGGTTTTTACCACTCCTATTTCCCTAGCTTTCCGCGCATCATCATTCCTCTCCTTTCTTCTCCTAGTTCAGTTGATTCTTTTTATATTTACAAGTTCACATTTAACAAATGTAAAACTCTTAAATTGGTGTTGTTGATAGTTGAAAGTCAAATATCGTAAGTTGTTAACGAGATAAGGACAACAGAGATATAAGAACGAGCCATGGTTTCCAACGGCCAACCTCTCATGGAATAAAAACGACACTAACTTGTTAGTTAAAAGCACACCAGAACACACCAATAATAACTACCATGGAACAATAAGTATAAGAAAATAAGACTGTTAAATGAATTTGATTTTCTGTTGTTATTAAAGTGTGCATGATGCCCAAAAGTAAAAGTGGTGTTTTAGCGGAGCTTTAAAAAAAGGACAAGAACTAGAGGGTTACTAGAGAAGACTGTTAGGAGGTTTTTATTCAAAATTAACAACCTAATATTGAAATCATAATATCAATAAAGTTCAAGGCCTTGTCCTTGTCAGTGACCATTTATATTGCCTCTAAAAAACAACCTAGAATTAAATTAAAAAGTAACGTTATTTTTTAATGAAAATAAATTTATTTTACTATTTGAATTTTAAAACTTTCTCTTAATTTTCTTTAAGTCACTTAAAGGGTTTGTATATGGAAATTGTTCAGCTCCTCCCAAAAGCCTAAGGGTTGATAAATTGCCTCAACGCTCCCCCAATGTATCTGCCCATGAAAACTCTTTCGAACTCTTAAGTTATGATTTGATTTTGAATAGTCAAATGCAAAATGAACACAAAACACAGCAAGTGTAAACGAACACAGTTGAGTTACAGTTAATTTACAGTTGATTTACAGTTAATTTACAGTTGATTTACAGTTAATTTACAAGCTACTTGTAAAATGTTTTGCTTTATAACAATACAAAATATAGATTTCTGAAATGTCATCTTCTCACAGTTTCTTGGGTCCCACTAATCAAATTTGGTTTCAGCTTTATATATATACGAATTGCAGGGCTACCCACAAAGGATGAGCAATCAAAAGTCTTCAGAGAGACGACTGGAAGTAGTTTATGTCTGTCATTTTACTTACATTCCATTTTTTACTGCTGTTGTGTCTTTCTGAAACAAATAATTTATACAAAATTGAATAGTCATATACATTTGAAATTAAATGAGATATGACAAAAAATCCGAAAAAATTTAGAGTGTAAATCTGCAGTTAATGTTATCAAATTATAACCTTAGAACTGTTATGACTTCAAAAATGCAAATAATTGGCTTTTTTGTTGTTAGATCTCATTAAATTTTTGATGAATTTTGATGAAATTTTGAAAAACAAAAGAATGAACCTTTTCCCAACAATTTTTCAAAAAATTTTATTTCTTAAAAAAGTTTGGTCTCGCGAAAAGTTCCAAAAATATTTTTGAATGTTTTTATTCACATTTTATTTTTTGCTATGCCTAAAAAACCCGAACATATTTTTTTTGTGGAATTTTTTTTTCTAAAATATTGATAATCCATGTTCAATTTTGACTCACCCTGCCAATAGATTTTTTGTGAGAGAATAAATCAAGTATCACTGGCTGTCTTCAAACTGAATAGAGAAAATAGTAAGAAATTCTTTTAGAAATGATGCATTTAGTAGCGCCAAAGAAAAATGACGGAATTTTTTTCTGAATTGGCAAAACTTTATTAAAGGATGGTTCACAGTCCTGATCATGATAGAGTCGAGTGAGAGGAGGGGGGTCGAGAGGAAGACGAAATACGTAGAGGGGGGGGGGGGCGAAATCAGGTTCGCCCCCCGTCCGTTATAGTTGCGCCACTGCTGTTAAGTTACTACATACAGTACTCAGACTCAGATGGTAATATGTAATTGCTAAATAGGAACGTATATACCTCTGGGTGTTTAAAGACGGAAAAAATCAAGATTTTTTTTCTGGTTTGGCCAGGAGGAGGGGGAAAGGTTCTCAAATTTCCTTTACTTTTTTTTCTGGCGCACTCCGATTGTTTAAAGGCCCCTTGCCGCCATCATGAAAGAATGTGGGTAATGGTTAAAGTTACAGATATAAAGCCTTCCTAAAGAAATAGTTAACTATAAACAAACACCATTTAAAATCAAATTGTTTAACAAAAGTCATATCTATGCAGAAATTACAAAGGGCAAAGTAAAGTTATACTACAGGGTGTCCCAATAAACATGGGAATTCATGCAGTGACGAATTCGATATCGTCTTTTTAAATAATTCTTTGATTTAGGATAGTGATACCTACTGAGAAAGCTGTAATCTGTAAGAGTTTCGTCTGCTAGGTTCACATTTTGTTTGTTTATGTTTTGACTGCACACTCTTGTACATAAAGTAAAATAAGAAAATTGCAGTATACAAACTGAGTAAACTTGTCCGTCTTCACTGTTCATCTTGCGGAAACATTATAGACACATCTTTACAGCCATTTACCGTTTTCATAAAATAAAAAGCAGATATAATAATATTATGGGTTTGAAAAAAGGTATTACAATACTAATTCATAACAAAGACGATATCGAATTCGTCACTGAATTCCTATGTTTTTTGGGACACCCTGTATTGAACGATTTATATATGTTTCTGATTGCAAATATAGTAATCACTGCATGACAATATATCTTTAAATAGATAAATGCAGACTGCAAACTAAATTATATAAAATACAGATTTTACTATTAGGAAATATGTTTTTATGGTTCTTAAATTTCTTGAATTGGAATTGCAATGAGTCCTAAACAATTTTGATAGAACACAAACTGTTAGTATTGGATAATTCAAATATAAATACAAAAACTATTTCATTAATTTTAGAAAAAATGAGTGCTATGAAACTTGGTCCACCCCATCCACCGGTTCCACCTATTCCAAGCACAACCCCAGCTATGCTGGTCAACTGGTCTGGAGATGCTATGGATACTCTCAAACTAAAAATAGGACTCCTGAAACGAGAAAACGTGGATTCATCGTTGAAGATGGAGGAGGCTGAAAAGGTGCATTTAAAATACATTTATCACGTAAAAAAAAATTATATGGATGTGCAGGTCTGTTTTTTTAGTGCTCACTTTGTCTTGTTTAAGTACAAAATGCTCGGAGTTTTCAATAAAAACAAACACATCACTTATTTAAATTTATACTTAGTCCAATTGCAATAAAAATAGCCAACCTTAAAAGTATTTTTTTTGTTATTCAGTATAAAATGTTTGAATCTTCATGAAACTATTCCAATTTTTACCTTTTTTCATTGTTGCTCTTACTGTTAATTCCTTTAGGCTAAACACGAAGCTGAAGAAAAAACTAAAGCTGCAGAACTAAAGATTAGAGAATTATCTAAACTTATTCACACCAGGTAAATTTTTCAGATTTAACAAACTACATTTAACAAATTTGGTTAAAGGGACTGTAGACCGTAAGTGACCCTCCATTCATGTAATAGCATATGCATGATTTACAATTTATTCTTTTATTTAAAACCTTTGCCTGATTAAGAATGACGTAGATATTATTGCTTTTTTTTTATCTAGAAATATAGTTCATTTTGTATGAAAACGGTATATTCATAATGATTATATATGATCATTAACAGAATATGAAAACTTTGTATCGTAGACACTATTATCTCTTCGCTCAATGAATTTCTTGAACGGTTGTAAAAATAAAGATTTCCTGCGTATGATAAAACAATCTGTGCAATCATTAAAAACGCTGAATTAAAGCATGCAAACATCTCAGGTTTAAAAATTTAAATGTTCAAATGTAAATTCAAATTTTCTGTGACTCGCGGAAAATGAAAAAAATAATATTGGTCAAATATAAATACATACAACTTAAAAGGTTATCAGTAATAGGTTCTGCGGATACAATTTGTGAGCACAAAATTTCGAAAGTATAAAAATAATTTCTTCCGCATCCTTGATGAGAGAAAGGTTTAAAGTGTACTGTTGTGAATCGAATATGCCACAGACTTATGAATAGAGAGGCACTGAAAATTACGCCTTAAAGAATAGTAAACAGAGTATTTACTTTGAAAGTGATCAGTTTCTCAAAAATAAGTGGCTTAAAAGGATTTGAGTAGTTGTATTATTTTTATTTTGATCTTGAGGAATTTTTTCATCATTACTTTTAAAAATCTATTTTCAGACATCATAAAAAAACGATCAAGGTATAGTGCAAGCAATTCATGCATGATTCAATTATTCTAAATAATTCGTTTGATAGGTTTTATGTGTTTTAGAAAAATTCAATTGGACCTGAATGCAGACCAGCTGATGAGGAATCAGATCTCCTGCAGAAGGAAGGAGGAAGCACTTGTGTCTGCTACAGAGGAAATAAATAATTTAAAACTTCGCGAGATGGCTCTTCAGTCAGAGGTATCTGGATTTCAGGCTATTTTTAAAGATAGTGTTAGGGAACAGTGAGTTATTTTGGCTACTTAAAGGGAATGTAGACGTAATCTGTGGTAACCCTCCATTTCTAGACTGGATAGTTAGATTTACAACGGTACACTTTTAACTTTGTTTGAACCAAGGATTACGTTCTTATTTTTAAGTTGTAAATTTAGTCCATGGAAACTGCGAGTAAACTTGATGGTAAACCTAGATTCTACCGTACTCATTTTTCTGCTAGAAGAATGAGGATATCTTATTCATCCTGGATCGGACAAAGGTTTAAAAGGTATCGTTGTGAATCGGGTCACTAGTATTCAAACTTCCTTTATGTATTTGTTACTTTTACCATATTTAGTGGAATTAGGTCTTTAATGTAATCTTTAATATAATTTTAGAATTCACATTTTCTAAATTTCAGTACAGATTTATTATACAAGTATTAAATGATTAACTGAATAGGATTCACAAAAATATCTCATTTTATAATACCTTTTTAATAGCTTTGCAACCCAATGTCGTATACCTTAGACATTTCAAACTATGAATTCTGCGAGATCAAATAATCTAAATTTGAAATATCAAAGGTTTACGCCAGCAGGTAGCTAAGATATAGGGATTATAAATTTAAATATTGTGATAAATAACCTGAGGGCGAGGCCGAATTTAAATCATTTGAGCCGCGGCTAAAATATGGTTGGTTCTACTTAAAATTGTATTCAATGCTTCAAGATTTAAGCCGGTGCTCAATTGAAACCGGTTTTTTGGGGATTTGAGACGCGGCTTAAATTCATTAAATTCGGACACTGCTCTCTCAAATCTTTTATATAAAAAATCTTTTATTTAAATACTCTTAAACATAAAAAAATTAATTTTTGTTTTGCTTACCAGTAACTACTAAATCTAATATTAATAAAAATCATATATCGTCGAAATTTAAATTGCACCCCGCGACTCCCAGGTTTACGTATGTATAGCAATCCGACTGGAACTATTAAAGATTGAAGTTGAGGAGGTAGAATATATGGAAGCTTAAGCCTGTGTATGATTGCACCCCGCGACCCCCGGGTTTACGTATGTAAAGCAATCCGACCGACCGCAGGCGCGGAAATACTCCAAGATTTATGATACAAAATTTCAAAGCTGTAGGTCGAATAGTTTTTGAGTTATTAAAGATTGAAGTTGAGCTTGTTACCGTATTCATGCCCCCTGCCTAGAGTTCGGGCTAAAGCATGGAGACTGGTTGACTTTTTACATTGCAACACGCGACTGGCACAAATTGGAGACAAAATTGGCAGCCTTTTTTTGAACTTTTTTGAGTTTTTGAGCTACAGCCTTGAAACTTTGCATGCCGGCGCGGAAATACTCCAAGATTTATGACCTACAATTTCAAAGCTGCAGGTCGGATACTTTTTGATTTATTAAAGATTGAAGTTGAGGAAGCTTGAGCGTGCATATAGTCTAGCAAGACAAGGTGCAATTTTTGAAGCAATTTGGCTCAATTCGGCTCACGCCTAGAGTTTTTGAGCTACAGCCTTGAAACTTTGCATGCCGGCGCGGAAATACTCCAAGATTCATGACCTAAAATTTCAAAGCTGCAGGTCGAACACTGTCTGAGTTATTAAAGATTTAGTTGAGGAAGCTTGAGCGTCCATCTAGTCTACCAGTAAAAGACACAAATATATAGGAATGACTATTCTTTTCCAAACTTGAACTTCAATTCATGAAAAGATTTATATCTGAATCAGGATCCTAGAGTATAATATCTTGACCAACATAAATCCTGGAAATAATAAATAATTTTCTTTCTAAGATTGGAAGATTTTGTTTCCGTTCTTGGTATACAATACAATTTCCTTCTATTAGCTAGAGAGAGTCGGAATATCTTTTCCTGAAACATCAGAGAACTTATGTACTGCAAGCCAGCATGCTGATAAAGAACTCAGGTAATTGTCACCTTTAGCCGAGCTCCATGAATTCCTCTAAAAATGAGATATTCAAATGTATGTATTCAAAACTAAAACAATATGTTGGTATTGACCGGGCCCGGGGGGGGGGGTCAAACTTCCACAGACCACGTATTTTTTTTAAGGAATTAGCATTAAAAGTGAGTATTTTAATTGCTCAAAATAGAAAATTACTCATAAAATATGTAAAATTATTGCTTTAGAACTTTACTTTCACATTTTTCACTCAGCCATCTCAGACAAGAAAAATAAAGATATATTATAGAAGGATAGGTTAGCAAGGTAATTAGATCGAGGATATCTCAGTTTAGAAATAAAACTTTTTTTATCAAATACGTGGTTTTCGTTTTTTTTGCGACTACATGTTAAAATGTGCTTCGATATAAAAATTCTTCACAGTCGCTGTCAATTCAGGGCGTACACAGGCCCCCCCAAACCATCTTTAGGACGTCCTGACTGGTTCTTCACAAGACCCTGTCAAGTCGGGGCATACACAGGGTTCCCCCCGAAAAAAAAATCTTTGAAGGGGGGCACTGGGAAATTGCAAATTGTAAATTGTAAAATGTTCAGAGGTATTCTTTTACTTTTGAAAAGATATATTCCAAAGACAGGATTTTCACTTAGAAAAATCAAGTCCACCTGAAAGACTTTACTGTCTCAACATATGCGACAGCATATAGAAGGAGGGGGGGGGGGTAAAGTTTTTGTCTCCAGAAGGGGAAGCATGGGAAAGTTAAAAACTTGGTGTAGTGTCTTGGAAGACGACTAACACATGTGGATGAAATATGATACAGGGTGTCCCACGAAACATTACATTTGATAAATAGTTATTTTTAGTTAAACAAATCTTTTGCTTAATTATATTTTACTTTTAAATCAATTTTAATATAACATGACTCCGTTATAATATTTTTATTGATTTTAAGTATCAAACAACTTAAAAAATAATGGAAAAAAACATTCTAAACTATTCATCAACTGTCATGTTTCGTGGGACACCCTGTATCATCATAATAAAACTAAGGATCGTCTTTCTTGGCAAGATGTGGATCAAACAGGGGGAAAACAGGCTAAAATGGGAATGGGACATAACACATGTGGATGAAATTTTATGTTCTCGTTCTTATATGGTTAGTACTTTTTAGGTACAGAATGCCTTTTCTTTTTTGTGTAGTTTGCTGAATTACTCTCAAACTCCGTAGAAATAATAGATTTCATTTTCCCAGGGGGGCTGAGCCCCATAGCCCCCCCCCTGTATTCACCTCTGACGGAAAACTATTGAGTCAACTAAAGTAAAGATCATTTTGATAGAAAATGAAAAGGATATAGAAAACTTAAATATAGAATTGTTAAGAGAAAAAAAGGTACAAGATCATGATAGAAAATAGAATAGGAAAATAAAGCTTATTAGATGAATATATGATAGAATGAACCAGATTTAATGAATAGCAAGAAGTCGCCAAATTAGGAAGACGCTATTGTGCCCCGGTTCAAGTTGAAGAGAACTGGTTTGTACCTCAAATAATCAAAAGTAACAATATATATCAAATGATAATTTAACACTCAAGTACGGCATAATGATGGCAATCCATGTTTAGTTATAGAATATATTTATCCATTTTTCTCATTCCCTCTGTCTCGGATAAAACTGTAGAGAAAGGACCAGAAAAAGTGTAATTTTAATCTATTTGATTTACAAGGTAAAACACAGATAGAAAATATCCTGTCAGATTCAACAAAGGAGAAGAATCTTAGCCATTTGTAGATATTTCATTTATTAAAACATCATATTCTTTTTCATTTTCTTTTTGTTTGACCTTTCATTTTTTAAGTTCTTGTTCTTGGTCAGGGTGTCATGGTCTTTCCTTCATTTTGAAATGCTATGATTTTGCAGTGAAGTAAAGAAGCTTGAGATTAGAGCTATGCTAGCAGACCAGACTATAGAGGAGATGGAACAGCAGCTAGATCTAGCCCACAATATGGCATTCTCTACAAATATTAAGGTATTGTAACGCTTTCCGAAAACTAAGCTGGTAAGTTGGTACAGTTTACAGTTTAAATTGCAAATAATCATGTCTACATAAAAATGCATCTGATTTTTATTCAGAGAAGAAGAAAAAAAAACATAAAGATGAGTCCTTCCGATTTACAATTAACAATGTCAGTTACTACATATTTATTCATTGTGATAAGTTTCTGAAGTATTCTGAAATTATTTTTATTGGACAGGCGGATGAAATGTCTCGTAAACTCGAGATTCGACAGATTGAACTTCGACAAGCAGCTGATAGGGCAGCTGCTGCTCAGTCGAGACTGGACTCTGTAAATGAAAAGCTGAAAAACATGGATAGAAAGGTAAAGTATAAATATAAAAAAAATTCACACAAGGGGTTTAAAAAAATTGGCTTTTAAGTTTTAGAAAATTACTATTGGCTAATGAAAATATGGTACATAATCTTCTACTGATTTAAAACATATAAGATTTTAATCTTACGTGGAATTTACTTTAAGTGAGTCCCTCTTACCTCTGTCACCCTTTTATTTGGGAAGATAATTACAAAACTTTTTGATTGCAGACCCCAAAAAAAACTTTATAAAAACCGGGTACTTAACTTGGTTCTCCAACATATAGTTTATAACATTTTCAGTTTTAGTGGAATTGTAAAAAGACAAGAACAGTAGAAACTGGTTTAATGTCTTGGGTTTCTGTATTCGGGAGATACTTGATTATATAAAGGGCTTAAAAAAACACAAATAATCCTTTTTGAATGATCATCTTTCTTATTTTGTGTACAATTGTTAGATGAACTGTCTCCAGTATAGTCTGGAGGACAAGGGACAAATGGAGAGAAAGATGAAGAAGCAAACACTCTTAATCCAGGTAATATCAACACACTTAGCTTTTATAAACTAGAAAAACAAGGACTTCAAGTTATGATCATGAACTTTTAACAAAACAGTAATAAACTCCTGCCACTTTTCTCGTTTTCGGCCTGGGTGTTCTAATTTAGTAATACACAAATTTGTTTGCAAGATTAATTTTTAATTTTGGTTTGGTTATTTGGTTCAGCTATTTTGACCAAAAGAAAATTCTTAAACGTGTTTAACCCTAAACTACAGGGGGGGGGGCGCCCCAGCAGTTTTTTTTGGCCTAGCACTTTAAAGGATTTTTTGTTAAAAAAAAATATTTTGTTTTTAATTTATAGGGTAGGATACAGGGCGGAAACACGTGTCACACTTTGATGTTTGTTTAAAATTTGTTTACCCTTTTTTAGGCATTTTTTTGCACCCTCCCAAGCACCCGAACTATTAAAGTTATCGGTCTAATTTTTTTCTTTGAGCTGGCCATGAAAAATTGAACATGCATTTCAACCATTTCTCTAAGGCCTTTTTCTAGGGCTATACATAGATTCAGACCCCCCAGCCTTTATAGGGTTAAGAACAGTTATGATGAAAATGTTAAAAATGTCGAGGATGAGTCTCTGTCACAAACTCAAATATTTTAATCCCTATATCTTAGCAACCTGATGGTGTAAAGTTGTAAACCTTTGATATTTCAAACTTAGATTATGTAATTTAACGGAATTCATAGTTAATTCATAAAATATTTAAGCTAATATAGCTTATATATATATATGGATTAGAAAACCAGAGTTTGTGGCAACAGCTCAATTCCTTTTAATTAAAAGTGATTAATTAACACTTGGTTAAAAAGGGGAAAATTATTTTTAAAGTGTTAACATATAAAAAAATGATCCTTATTATCTATATCTTCTATATAATATAACGAGACGATCGTATATATGTTCCCTTTAGTCGGCAAAACGGCTGGACTGAATGGACTGAATTTTGTTTGTGGACACTCTTGGGTAGCCTGGGGGTGACATAGGCTAAACAAATTTTTTTTTGAGGGCAACGCTTGGACCTTCAGCTAGAAACATAATACAAATATCTATAATAGGCTCGCCTGGATGACACTGAGGGTAGACTGGAGCGAGAGATGGATGCTCTAAGAAAAATTAAACAGAGTATAGATCTGAGAGCAGCTCGTGCAAGAAAATAAACTAACAGTCTTGTACCCTCTTTAACTAAAAAATTTTGCATCGAGTTTGTAAATTTTAATGTGAAACGTTCTGCAGATTGCAATTATTCAATTCTAAATATAAATTTGATTTAAATTAAAGCTTACTTTCCTTTATTGTTATTACTTGTTTAAACTTTCGTTATCTTACTAAACCTTGATTTTTACAATTAAATGTTTAAATATTGTAAAACTAGTATACTTCTTATATTCCTCGGACCGAATTTATTGAATTTGAACTGTCTACTGCCGGTTCAAATTTGAATTCAGATCAAATTCTTCCCTAATCTTAAACTTTGAATTGGTGGTTCAAATTTGAACCTGCATGCAGTTTGTAGTTTAGCGACATAGCTAAAATTCATTAAATTCGGTCCCAAGTATCATTTGCTTACTTATATAGAAAATAAAAAGTAGAACAAAATATGATCTTTCTGTATGGCATGTTATAATTCTGTTCAGTCTAAGAAAGAATTTCAATATGAACATGTAAATATTATAAAATGAACAAAATTTCTAAGACTAACGTGAGAATTTAATGTATTTGGAAAGTCAAAGATAACTTATATTATTTCGTCGCTTAAGAGGATTTTAGCTAAATCAGCCAAGACTTAACGTATTTTTCAATTCTTAAATCCCAAATGTATATAATTACTGTTGGTGGATGGTTTCAAAATAGATAAACAAAATCCTGAGAAGAATGTGGAAAAATATCGGGAAATTCCCAGTTTGACAGGCAATAGTATTTCAACACATCATCGAGACTGATGCATAAACTGTTAACTAACATATTCTGAACGTGTTTATTTTTAATTCTTGAGTTTTCTTCTTTTGATATTTTTCTATCATTTACCATTTCTACCATTCAGCGATAATGAATATAATTAGTCTTTAACTACTTCATTATCATTTGTCACTCAAAATGTCCCTGCTATTGAAGGGTCTGTATACAACAAATATATTGTTAAATTATTTAAGTGCAGTCATGGTCAGTGCTAATTGTTGTCACTACTCAACCCATTTTATAAACAAACCTAGCTAGAAGTTAGTAAATATATTCATTTGTTTCAAGATATTTTGATCAATTTAACGAAGTCCTCGTCAATTTTTTCTAAATTGTATCCTTTCATCTTCGATATTTTCCCCTAACCACAATTCTATTCTCATGAACTACAATTAACTTTTACAGTATATTCTTTTAAGCAACAATATGTATATTCTATAAACATTCTATTCTTCAAAAATTGTTTCTCCAAGACAACACTCTAATCTTCTAAAGAACAATCTTCTCTGTACGACATCTTTCTATTTTCAATTGCTTTTAAACATTATATTTTCTCCCCTTTCTCCAAATCTTTACCCAGTATTTCTCCGACCCTTATTGTTTATTTCGGATGATTTAGCAATGAACTGAAGCACGATAATATTCTACAAACAATGGTTTGTATAAAATATTTTATATTCATTTAGGTCAGTGTAGAAGAACAAAAATTGAGAATTGGCCTTTAAAGACACATCTTTTATTGAAAAAATGCATTATCAGATTTATAAAAATAAGGGTCGATTCATGTCAGCGCGATAGAAAAAAATTGAACCATGATAGCGATTACTTTGGGGACAATCTGTAATTCAATAAATTTTTTGTATTAATTCATTCAAATATAATGGGTTCCACTTGAATTTTTTTGTAAAGGAAAATATTTTTCGAAATTCATGAAAAATGATTGATTAAATTCTATTGCCGCCATCTCTGCAGTTTGAGATAAAAATACATTAATTCCATTTCTCTTTTTCAAGTTTTTATATTATTATCATTAATCGCATTCAATATTTCAAGATTAGTTAACTCCCTAAATAATAATATCTATGTAATGATGATAATAGTAATAGCAATTAATCAGAGAAATCTCAGTTTTTCAAAGTTTATTAATGTTCATAATGTTTAATATTAAAGTTAGATCGATTGATTTAAGTAAATGTACAGCCCTTCTACAGAAAAAGGTGTTTGCATGATTAGATGTCTAAAAGGTTAGCTGGGAAGGACTTACATGATCCACTTTTAATGGTGAGAGATAAAACGTGTGTACATGGTATACACAGTGTACAGAATGTAAACTTTTAAATGGTTAAAAGTACTAAATAAGACCCTGAAGAAGATTTATCGTCACCATAAATCTTGTTTTGTGGCCTATAGAGGATATACCGTTAAACAGAGCACATTAGCGAATTGGAGTATTCTTGCATCCATATACTCTAAAATTGTGAGAAATTCAGCTTTCAATCCTTCTCCTTAATCCCGTGAAAGTACTTTTGAAATACGTATTTAACAGAAAATCTTAGCCATTTTAAACAGAAATTTTTTGTATGGATTTAACATGACTGATTTTGCTCTTTTTTACTAAACAACTTCTATATTGAGCTTTTAGTTTAAAATGAAGATTCTAAAAATGAACCTTCATGAATATGAAGAAATTTTTGAACGTTCTTAAGAACTTTCTTGTTTTGAAACCTTAATTAAATACAAAACATTGACAAAAAACAAAGAAAACAAATCTACTAACACAACCAATCCAAATAGGCAAACTTCAATCTGTCACAATTTTCTCATTTTTTGTGCAATCTAATTGGTATATACATCAATAAAAATGTCACAAAAATGTCAAAAATAAAAAATAAAATCATGCTGAGAGCCATAAGAGTGTATTTGGGACACCCTTTGCAGATTGCACTTTTTTCCTATTCATCAGATCCGACCTCAGGTTTATAATTTCCGAAAAACAATAACATAATTTTTTTATTGTTGTTTTGTCATGTGTATTTTATATTATTACTTTTTAGCTTTAAAGATAAAAATCATCTTTGCATTCATCCTCAACATTTCATTTTATAATAGAATTTGGCATAATTTTAATCTAAATTCTGTTTGGATCAATTCTAACCCAGATCTCTTCGTTCTCTGCCCTCCAGGAACAAACTCAATTTTGCTAAAATTTCCTCGCAAACTAGTATAAATATGTATACACAGTAGATATTTCTCCACCCCAATACACAGTGCATTCTGTATCCTGTATCCTGTATCCTGTATCTAGAACTGTCTAATACTGTTTTCTATATTATGTACCCTACAATACATCTTGTATCCTGTATCCTGTATCCTATGCTTTGTGGATTTGTGTAGGGATTTGAAAAATCGATCTTAAATATGAATGAACTTCTTAAATATGAATCCTTGCAGTCTAAATCATCTCATTTTTACTACACGTCCCTGTTTTTACATGCAAATGTCTCTTTTTCAACTACACAGAGGGGGGGGGGGGGCTCACTTAGTTGCGCCTCTACGTGTATCCGTCATCATGAACTCTGTATCCTTTATTCAAATATTATCGACAGTTTTACAAAATAGACATTTATATTTGGCTTTTTAATCTAACCTCTAATCAATATTTATTGTAAAGTTTTAAAAAAAATAAACTTAATTAATTTTAAACATATTATCTTGGATCTATTGCATGATATATATTTTATCAAATGAAAGAAATGAGCTTAAATGATTTCTAGAGAATCAAAGATCAATATCAGACCTGAGACTCTTAATATGTAGTAAAATGTAATACAAATTGGAATGTCGGATACAATTTTGCAATATTGAGAAACACTCAATATCATATCATGTGGCACTGAAACTGATTACTTGCCTCAAACTATAATTTTCTTTTCATTTTATCTATTTCGAAAAAAAATATCAATTCACCACCAGTTATATTAACTGTAATGTAAACAATAAATATATAACTTTTCTTTTCCTTTTCCTTTTTTTAGAATTGGAGGGAAATATTCCCACTACCTCTATTTTTGGAGGTTTTTAAATATTTTATCCTGAAAAACTTAATTTTGTATGTTGTTATATTATTTTCAAAACTGATAAATGTCGACATTTTTTGGAAAAATTGCTAAACTTTGATGATCCATTGGACATACAAATTACAAACAAATACCAAGGCATTTTATATAAATAGATTTTAGATAGATTTGATTGTATTCAATGCTATCCTTCTAAAGTTTCACTTCAAAAGTTAATTCGTCAATTTGTAGTTACAAACCTTTTCATTTATGTATTAATTTCCCCGTATAATATAATATATATGTATTCCTTTCTAGGCAAGAATTAGACCAGGCTTGATCAAGGAGTGAGTTTACTTAATCTAAAACATACTTGCACCAAAATAATTTCTAATATCATCAACACACAATTTACAATACTGTTTGATGTGTTTGTACAATGTAACTGTTCACTTTACAGAATTGTATGGCTGCTTCAAAAGACACACTAAGAATACATAGAGTACGCATGAACTTCAGTTCATGCCAAGGTAATAAGGCAAGGAAAGTTATTATTTCATTGATTTTTATGTGGAATATGGATCCCATCTTAGGCTGTGACATCCATCTTGTGTTTACTTTACAGCCCAGAGACAGTACACTGCAATACTAAAAATGCGTACACCTCTGAAATAATTATCTTTACATTATAATTCTTTGGTTCAAGCAAAATCCTATCAGTGTATATTCAATAGAGATAGCTAGAGTTTATATCCCACTATCCACCCCACCCTTTCCCCCCATGTCCTGCCTGGGCTAGATGGAACCTTGTCGTGTAATCTATACAGCTATGAATACGTACATTTTAATGAATATTCTGCCATAGATGTCACTGTGTCTGTACTCTGTAGGAAGCTGTGAGAATACAAATTAAGCTCGCTTGCTCAGCTGATACAACAAAAACTACGCGCATAAACTTCATAGTTTAGTGTCAAACAGAACAAAGTCTCCTGAAACAAGACCCTAGCGTGAGAAATTTGTCCAAAATCTTTTCCTACCTGGTTCTGCGTGTACGCAAGTACACCTTTACTCTATATCTATTTCTCTAAAAGGGCAGACGCTGAACTCCAACCCCCGAGTGTGGAAGATCGAGATTGAATCCTAGCCACAGCACTCGACCCAGAAAGTGTCATAACTTAACCTAACCTGTGGCCGCAGCGCTCGGCCCTCTAACCTGTCCTAGCCGCAGCGCTCGGCCCATAAAGTGTCTTAACCTAACCTAACCCTAAATAAATACTAATTTAATTGAAAATTGTTGTTACCTCGCACACTCGAAGGTTGGAGTTCAGCGTCATACCCATAGAGAATAGAATATAAAAGTTATGTAAAGAAACATACCTGTATGTGGAGGCACTGTGATTAAATACTAAAGTGGACAAAACTCATAGTTGGATGACGACATTTTATATATATATTTATTCACTTTGATGTGGAGGAGGGTAAATAAGGTTCCAACTAACTCAGTTTACCTAATGGGTTGAATGGTTTAAACACCTTTCTGATTCTTTAACCTTAGATTCAAAGCTCCAAGTCCAGTAAAATCACATTGAACCCCGAAATGAAATAACCACCATTTTGTATAGCTTTTGATTTGGTATAATTATGCATTTAATTAGGTTTATATATTTAGAAAACAATTAGTATTGGAAAAGTGTTTGTTTTGTTTTTGTTGCAACAATAGCCTATATTTGACTGACACGGTAGTAAAACCTGGGCTAATCCTGCAATAATATACCTGTCTAATTTGACACAACTCTGGCTTAACTTAAATCCGATATAACTCGGAAAAGGTTTAATTTAGTTTGCACTTTCCTACACAAAAAAGGGCGCTGTATTTACTTAGAATATGACTTCAGTCAGAATTTTTCCTGTTTTTGGTAAACATTCTTCCTCTATAAATAAATCCTATGTTAAAGTCCAATGTTTCTCAACAAAAAGCCTAAAATAGAAAATAAATACTTTAAGTAAGCATTATTTTTTCTTATATCATCTAATCTGGAGGATCTTAAACAGAAAAACATTAATTTTTCAAATTTTCTCCACTGCATGCAGGCATGGGATAGGTTTTCAATTTCTAAAATTGGGAGAATAAATCTGGCATCAAAACCAGCATTTTGAATTTATATACAACAATTATAAACAGAGCCGTTCAAATTCAGGAACAAAATATATAGTTTAAGACTTGATATATATATATATATATTCACATATCGTGGTAACCCAGTTTTGTCTGCAAATTTTGATAATCTGTAAGGAAGGAAAATTCAAAACGTTCGAGATTTTAGTGCCAGCCAGTTGTTTAGCAGACAGATAAACAAAAATTACTACTTCATATATAGATTACCTATCGGCTTACTTGGTTTCTTAACCTTTTTTAAACTCTAAAGTGAGTGGGGCCCATTTTACCCCAATATTTTCCGGACATATAGGATATAAACCTAATATAGAAATCCAATATTACATTTAGAATGTAGAATCTGGATTCTGGCTAGTTGTAAGATTCATTGATTCAGTATATTTTACATTTATATTTAAGCATTAGTTTCAATATAAACTTGATTAACCCCTGCCAAAATATGTAAATGGGTCTTCTAGTAAACTTAGCTAAACCGACCTAATTTCATAGATCGATAAAACCTAAACGTTGTTTCTCTTCCACTTATCTTAATGAACAAGAAACTCCTAATAAATGATTCATGTTCATCTTTATGGTAGTTAAACCAGTTAATTCAACTAAAGAATGTACCCGTATACACTCCTTAAAAGCTTTATTTTAAGCTTTGGTTTTACATACGCAAAATAATCAAATATCAAAAATTAAATTGACGGGCACCACCGGGAGTGGAGCATGTGGCTTAATTTGATCGACTCAACACGGGAAATCTCACCTGGCCGTGACACCAGAAGAATAGACAGATTGATAGCTCTTTTCTTGATTTGGGTGGTGGTGGTGTATTCTTAGTTTGTGGCGTGATTTGTCTAGTTAAAAAATATACTTGCTTAGCATGAAAAACATCTCTTTTTTTCTGCAAGATCATTAACGGGAGTGAACAGCAATGTATGGTAGTTGAACTGAGAATGTAGGTGGAGAATTTTTAGGATTCATTTGAAAAATGTAAAAAATTTAATGATGTATAATTACTGAGTTTGAGCACAAAGTCGACGTTCAAAATAGGACCATATTTCTCAATTGAAATTTTCTAAATAAACCAATGTTAGAATCAATTATTTCTTTTTCATCATTATAATGAATATCTTATTCTTTACAAAGGAATTGAGTCTTTGCCACAAACTCTAATTTTCTAATTCCTATAACTTTATAAATCAATGTTGTATAACTTAGATATTTCAAACTATGAATTCTGTTCAAATAATTAATAATAAATAAATAATAATAAAGTTTGAAATATCAAAAGTATACACTATCAGGTTGCAAAGATAGGGATTAGAAAATTTGAATTTGTGACAAAGACTCAATTCCTTTGTTCGCAGATTTCTAAAAATTCTTCAAATATCGTCTTTTCAATAAAAGTTCCAAAAAATCTACAGAAAATGTTTGTGAACAATAAGACATTTCAGAAACTAATAACTGAATAAGATTTCTTATTTTCGATGATAAGAGTTAATATATATTTTCTCAACCTGTTTCTAAGCAACTAATTGATAGTTTATCCGTTTTTAAAGGGAGTGTTCGCGAAAAATGAAAGGGGGAATAGGCTTAATGCGATAAAAAAGCGCTTTTGATCGCTATTAATCTTACTTCTATCTGTTGCGTCTATAAGGAAAAAATTGTTAAAGACGTCTCATTGTGGCGGCGTAGTGGCGGAAGACGAGGTTCTGGAGGAGTTTCAAACCAAGTATCAAGGCGCGGCAGGATGAGCAGCTTCCGGCCACGTCACCTATCTATCTATCATTATTATTTACGTTTTGATAAATTTAAGTATTTTAAGTTAGTAATAAAGTATTTATTTAAACCTCGAGTTTATCCTTCCGAGCGTAGCTAAATTGGTGATCCCTAGTTTGAAACTATAGGCAAATAGACTGTTTCCGTGCCATTATAGACTTTTATAGCTACACGCTCAGTGAATCGGAATGCCTAAGGACAGTGATACCGTCCAAGCTCAAGCTGAACCCAGCTCGCTGGATTTGTTAAACTCTGTATCAGTGAAGGTTCCGGCCTTTTGGCCAGATTCTGCGGAGGCCTGGTTCGTGCAGGTGGAGGCTCAGTTCGCCCTCAAGGGAGTAACTGCCAGTTCCACCAAGTTTTACTACTGTGTATCTTCGTTCAACCAGGAGACAACTAACCAGGTCCTAGATCTCATCAAGAACCCTCCTTCTCTCGACCCCTATGAAGCCTTGAAGACCCGGTTATTAAGATTGTTTGCCCTCGACGATTATCAAAGGTATGAAGCAATTTGCAACCTCCCCCTCTCCGGCAACATGAAACCTTCTAAACTTATGTCGAACATGCTCGCCCTGCTTCCCTTGGTCACAAGCCGTGCTTTTTCCTTCGTGGAGCGTTTCTGAAGAGGTTGCCCGCCGACGTCAGGGCTCACCTGCTGAGGGACGATTTTTCCGATCCTATAGCTTTAGCCTTAAAAGCAGACGAGATTTATCAGAGCAGAGTTTCCTCCTCAACTGCTTACATGGTTTTCAGTACCCCCAAGGACGTTGTCAACGCAGTGAGATCTTCACCTACAAACTGCCCATGTCGTTCAGCAACTCCTCACTCCAGCAGCCGGGATAACAGATCATCGTCTCCGTCTCTGTGCTACTATCATCGTTCCTGGGGAACTAAGGCTAAGAAGTGTAGAGCTCCATGTTCCTGGTCGGGAAACTAGTTTACCGGCAGGAGGATGTTCGTACACTTCCTGCCAGGCCTTCTACCTCGTCTCCTCTCATCTATCTACAGGACTCTCTGAGCTCAAGGAGGTTTCTCATCGATTCTGGCGCCTCTGTCTCAGTTTTTCCTGATCCAGGATCCTCAGGAGGCAAGTCTGGAGTGAAGTTATTAACAGCGGATGGTTCTTCTTTATCTTGCTCCGGTTCTCGAGTTATTCCTCTACGGTTCGGGAGTCACAGGTTCGAGTGGCCGTTTCAACTAGCTCCGGTAGCCGTTCCAATCCTGGGTGCAGATTTTCTGAAGCACTACAACCTCCTGCTCGATGTATCCAATCAGAGGGTTTTCAGTGCTGATTCTCCGACTTCTCCATCCATCGTCTTGCCAACCTCTCCAGATTCCAAGCCCCCCCTGTTCACAGCCAACCTTCTTGCCACCCCTCAGTGTATCACCGATCTCCTCGCAGAGTTTCCTGACGTGGTCTCGTCCGACGGTTTCACGGCCTCTAAACCTCGTCACGGAGTTACCCATCATCTACTCACGCAACCTGGACCTCCGGTTTTCGCGAAGGCTCGGCGTCTGGACCCGGAGAAGTTGGCGTCCGCCAAACGAGAGTTTTCTGCCATGGAGAAAGCTGGAATCATCAGTCGCTCTAATTCTCCTTGGTCTTCGCCTCTCCATATGGTCAGGAAGAAGGACGGAGGATGGCGTCCTTGTGGTGATTATAGACGACTGAACACGGTTACAGATCCTGATCGGTACCCTTTACCTAATATTGCTGATTTCACCTCTCGAGTCACGGGTTCAACCATCTTCTCTAAGTTAGATCTGCAGAAGGGATCACATTTTTCGAAATCCGTTAGAACGTTTTCTAAAAAAATAAAATATTATAAAATATTATTCTCATCAAAGATACTTCATCAAAGACCACACAGCAACATTTAAATTGTTTTTTTGTTAACCAATTTTTTTTAGTAAAGAAGTATAACTGATAATATTGCATTTTTCAATCTTATTTTGGATAATTTTTTTTTTTTTTTGTATTAATGATAAACTTTTATCCCGGAATTTCAGTGATCATGAGTTGTGCAACTTTACCCTCTCAGTAAGGTTTTAACAAATTTCATCTTTGTTCTTTTATCGTCCAATTTTTTCAGCTTTTAATGGTTTCCAAGAATTTTCTTTTGTATTTCATGTCATAAAAAATGTGAAAAACTTCTTCATTAAATTATATATGTTTTGAAAACTGGCAATGAGGATTAGTGGAACATGTTTACCGAACTATTCAGATAAAAAGATAATTTCTGTTGGAAGTAAGGTTTTCTGTAATATATTACTTTAAGAATTAATCGAATTTGAAAATTAATGGCTGGATTGTTCAATGATGTCATCCGTTTAAATTTAAAGAAAACTTATTTAATTGCTACTATCTGAGTTTAGTTGTTGATATATTATTATTTTTGTTTTCATTTTTTTGTATCGTTTTTCCGAATCATATTGTTGATGCTAATGGAATGACTGGACGGGGTCCAAGTCTGAACGAGTTATTCTCGTAATCAATTTTCTTAATGATTAGGCACAGCAAACAGTGTTAACACAATGAGTAACAAACAAACAAATAATATTAAAACCCCAGGGACAAAAGGAAAATTTATTATATATTTCTTAGTGTTATAATGTAATTAAAGTATCTTCTTTACAATTAATAAGCAATAAGCATTTAGCTGAATTTCCGCCATAATTGTACTTCTTGAAATATTCCAGAATCCAGGAAGTCCACCCCACACATAATGCATAAGATTTGCATAACTGCCCAACCAATTTTCTTTGCAAACTTTAAACGCAAATAAATCTTAAAATGAAGATGTCCGGACCTTTCTTTCTTCTAACAGTTTCTGCTAAATCCAGAGGTAATGTAAAAAAACTCTACGGACATGGTATGGAGAAACACTGGAATAAAAACAAACTTAGAATCTGATAAAAAACCTTTGTGAAATTCTTATTAAAGCTATGCGGTATTAACAGTAAATAAAAGGTTTTGAATTTATTTTGTTCGCAAAATCTAATAACTGAAAGCATGTCAAAATAAAGAATATTTGATCAGAATTTGAGAGATATTTTACAAGCTTTTAGCTAGACATAACTCATTCTTTAAATTCTTTTGAGTGAATTATCTAAAATTTTCTTTTGAATAATAAAAAATGTCATACCTTCAAAATACTTTATTTCTTCGAAGATTGTGTCCTGTTGTCTTTTCTTGTCCCGCTTAAGTTTAAAGTTAAAATAACGTTTTTTTCATAGATTTGTCTTCCGACCTGCCTTGTCCACAGCTTTACCTTTTCTGAGTCGATTTCTATCCTGAAATCAGTTATGCGCAGATCTTAGATATATATTTTCTATTATGCCCTAATCTAGAATGGGCCAAATCGTTGTTTAGTACTTTTGTCCCCTGAAGAGGGGCCAGCAAAATGCATGAATAATTTCTAACTCATAACAAAAAGAAATTTTACAGAGAAAATCTTTTAATTTCTCAATGAAGATATATGTGAAAAAGTGCAGAAAAAAGGAAAAAAGGCAATATATATCTAGTTGGGAGATATTCTGCAGAAACGAAGAACGGAATAATATATTGTGTAACTATCTAGCTTGTTCTATGCTTAGTATTCTTGAAGTTTAAAATAATATATTGTGTAACTATCTAGCATGTTCTATGCTTAGTATTCTTGAAGTTTAAAATAATATATTGTGTAACTATCTAGCTTGTTCTATGCTTAGTATTCTTGAAGTTTAAAATAATATATTGTGTAACTATCTAGCTTGTTCTATGCTTAGTATTCTTGAAGTCTAAAATAATATATTGTGTAACTATCTAGCTTGTTCTATGCTTAGTATTCTTGAAGTTTAAAATTCAACAGATGTTTTGAATCCAAACACAAATAAAAAGCTTTTAACCTTCCCTACCTTCTAATTATCTTAGTATTTAACAAAAACAACAATTTGTTTTATTTGATGAAAGTAGAACTAAGCCATCCAAGTCGGTACCAATCTGCAGCTGTCTTAAATTTTAGCAAAAAAAATCATCGGTTATCTCTTACGTTATGAGTGCTTCTAAAAGTGGCCGTTTAGCGGTCAAAAGAGGTCGATACCGTCAGCATCAGTTTTGTTAGCAAAAAAAGAGTATTATTAATGAATTTCACATATGAACCATTTTATACATTATTGAACCCAAAACTTTTTGTTATTTCTGGCTGATTAGATGGACGTCATTGTCTCCGCCTCCTCCACCGCCGCTTCACCCTGCCATTTTTGTGCTCCATTCATGCACATTGCACAAAGTTAAATCTAATCATTATTATGCTGAACCAGGGGAGCTCATGTGTAAACACCCTGAGCTATCTTGTAGCTCCATAAAATATATAACTTGCCAGTTATTTAATTAATATATGTATGTTTAAACTTGTGGCCTAATAAACGATTTGATTTGATTTGATTTGATATGGATATACCCCAGACGATATGAGTACTACCTTGATCAAATTTGGATTGCGTTTACCCAAATTTTCATACCTATGACGGTGTTTGTGCGCCATCAGTATAATTTGACCTTAAATGAATCAATCAAGCATATGCAGTTGTTTCAAATAAATTAACATCTCGAATGGATGCACTGAGACAAAAGTTGAATTTTTATACTGTGTGGTTATTCCGTCAAGGTCTCTAAAAATTTCTCAAGCCTTTTATATAAAGGAAAAAAAATCAAGCTTAAAACCAATTTTAAAATAAAAATGTGTTTAATAAAGTAATGATCTTTTCAGATAATCTATTTTTATTCAACTTCAGATTAACAATAAAGTTGTCACTTTTTGACCAGGTGGGAATTAGGATAAAGAATTTTGATAATAATAGTTCCATTTTTGGGATTAGGATGTTAATGCTCAAATATGTCCATACTGACCATAATGATCGGATGTAAATATAAGGAATTAAGTCTGTACCACTGTACTGTACTGTACTGTACTGTACTGTACTGTACTGTAATTAAGTCTGTACCACAAACTGAAATCCTCTAATTTCTTTATCTTTGCAACCTGATGGTGCAAATGCATACATTTCAAACTTAGATTATTTGAACTAACAGAAATAGTTTGAAATAATGTCTACACATTGGATTGAACAGATATAGGGATTAGAATATCCAGAAAAGACTCAATTCCTCCTCTATTGATCCTACATAAAATTGTTTATCAAGTATTTGAACTTGTAATAAGTTTTATAGATTCTTAACTATGTCAGAACAATAATATTCTCTATTTTACTCAACTATTTACTCAAACTCAAATGAATTATGTTTCAGTTTTCGATATATATTCAATATTTTCTGAGTTCCGTTTTAAACTGGACGAGCTAGCAGAGGAGCAGAGGTGAATAAAACGAAAGCTTGAAGAATTGGAAAAGAATAAACATAAACATAAAAACAAAAGAATTTAAATATTCCAAACATTCAAGATAAATATTCAGCAGAGAAGCTGGGAGTATCGGAAATATTTTATTTCAGTTTTATTTCATTTTTGCAATCCGAGATGCATACATTGGCATTGCTTCTACATAAAATACATCAATAATGTTTAAAATACCGGACTTTTACATTTCTATTAGCTCCATAAAATGAATTTTTTTTTATGAAGCT